CTGGGCAGATGGCTTGAGTCCAAGCGTTTGAGGCTGCAGCGATCATACCACAGCACTCCAGCTTGGGCAACAGAACAAGACCCCATCTCTAAAAAAATAAAAAGGGCTGGGCATGGTGGCTCACGCCTGTAATACCAACACTTTGGGAAGCCAAGGCGGGTGGATCACCTGAGGCTAACATGGTGAAACCCCACCTCTACTAAAAAAATACAAAAAATTAGCCAGGTGTGGTGGTGGGCACCTGCAATCCCAGCTACTCTGGAGGCTGAGGCATGAAAATTCCTTGAACTCAGGAGATGGAGGTTGCAGTGAGCTGAGATTGTGCCACTGCACTCCTGCCTGGGCGACAGAGCAAGACTCCTTCTCAAAAAAAAAAAGGGGGGGGTATAGGGTATGATGGGGGCTGAAACTCACTCCCTGCACCCTAGAAAGGCCCTCTAAGGAGCTCTGGTAGCCCCAGACTTGCCTTGCTGGGTTGAGAGGGGACAAATGAAAGAACTTGGCAGCACTACCAGGGCCGGTGTGCAGCGGTGCTGGGAAGTGGCAGCCCCCTCCTATGCACTCAAACACCCAGAGAGGAGGCCAGATTGTGTGCTGGGGGCCTGGCTGGCTGGGAAGCCTTGGCCTTCCTGGAGAAGCGGAGAGATGAGCCAGGGTAGCAGCCACAGTTGGTCCCTCCTTATGGGTCACTCGTGACCCCAACCCTGGATCCTTTCTGGGGACTCTGCCTCCTCTACCCCAAAGAACGAGGTGCCTGGGAGCCAGAGGACACCTGGTGTGAGATCTGCCTGCTCTGGACCAAAAGTTCCCCCATCTGAGCAATGGGTAGGAGAGGGCTGCTTGTCAGCGCCTAGATGCCAGATAAGGGGAAGCGCCAGGTGCCCTGCGGCTCTGCACTGGCTGGGAACTCGGCATCCCTGAGCCCCTACACGTGGCTCTTCTGGGCACCACCTCACTTGTAGGACTTCTGTAAGGTGGGAAAATAAAACTGCCCTGTACCTTGCCCAAAGTAGACACAGAATAAATGGTAGCTGCTACTCTTCTGTCCTCTAATGGATTAAACAGGTTAAATTTTTTAAAAAAGGAAAAGTCTCTGGAGTGATAAGCCAGGTTCCATTTTCAGCTATGTGTGATTTCCTGATTGTGTGCCCAGGTTGCAAGGCCTCTGTCTCCTCACCTGTAAACTGGGGCTGTGATGATGGCAGCCAGCTGCCCCCTCAGGATGCTGGGAGGCTCAGTGTCAAGGGGGAGGCAGAGCCTGAACAAAAGGAGGGCAGAGCCTCCCACGGGGCCCCTCTTGACTCCAACCCTCAGGGCCACTCACCCAGCCCCAGCAGCAGGAGCAGGAAGGAGGCCAGCACCACTCGACGGTTCTTCTGGATCAAAGGGTGTTGGGTCCAGCTGGGTGGCAGGAGAGCAGGGTGAATGTGAAGGAGGTGGAGGAAGGGGGTGCAGGAGGCTGCAGGGGTAGAGCCAGGGCTGCTTGGCTGGGGGCTCAGGTGGGCAGGCTCACCTGCAGCAGGTGTTGTAGGAGCGCTGGGTGCCGCTGCTGATGGTGCTAAAGGACCACTGGGAGCTGCGGATGGAAGTTCGGCCGGAATCCCTGCAGGACAGGCGCCCGGTGAGGGGCAGGGAGGCAAGGATGGGGTCGCTTTGGGACAGACGTCCTGATGAAGTACAGGGTGTGGTGCAGGCACTGGGGCTGGCCCCTTGCAGGACAGTGGACTCTGAGAGGCCTCGGTGGGTGAGGATGAATTTAGGGACTGGGGATGAGCTAGGGGTGTCTTTAGGACAGGTGACCTATATGAAGGTGGGGGCCAGACCAGACTAGGGGTTTCTGAAAGAGGTAAGTACAGCTGGGCACTAGGGTAGGGTGACCCTGCAGTGTAGGGGACCCTGTGAGGAAAGTGAGGGTCAGACTAGGAATCAATAGGACGGGATGGAAGTGAGTGAAGTGGGGTGGGCGACTGAGCAGGGTCCCTGGGGATAGGAGCTGGGGCTGGGGTACAGGGTTGGGTCCCCACCTGGCCCTAACCTGGTGCTGACTCCCCCATCCGGCTCCGGAGAGATCTGGGCTCCATCCTCATCGTTCTCCAGGTTCTGTTGCAGAACACAGGTCTCAGGAGGGTTGCTAGGCTGGGGCCCTTCCTCATCCCTTCCCAGGGAGAGAAAGCAGGCCTACACAACCATTTCCCTGGCCGCCTGGCAGCTGCTCACCTGGCCCTCCGCCCTCCCTGCAGAACGGGTTTGGTGAATCACAGAAACCAGGTAGGAGGTGGGTGGATGCCAGGGCTTTGGGGAGCAGGAGCCTGCACGGGTCCCAGGGAAAGGAGAGCTCCCAACTTTGGGAGTCAGGGTGGAGCTCTCATTCAGTGGCCTAGAATGGGAGCTTGGGAATTGGGGTGCCAGGGAAGGCCAGGCCCAGGGTTCCCAGGTTCAAGGTACAGGGATCTGGTCCAGGTCTCCAAGAAAAGCAGCCTAGGGTTGGTGGAGGTTTTCTGGGAAAATGGGGATTGATTTCTGGCTTAGTGGGAGCCAAAGGGTGGGCAAGGACTGGTCATGTCAGAGGGGCTCCAGCTCTTAGGGGTGATGGTGGGATTAGGGTGAGGGCTTTCAGAATAGAGAAAGGCGTGCGGGTTCCCATCAGCTTAGCTGGCCTGGGGCACAGGGGATGCTCCTGCGTGTGGGCAAGGTCTGGTTCAGATACAGAGGAGCTCCCCCAACCCAGCGGGGGCCAGGGGCGATACCCAGGATGAGTAGGGAATCGGCTGGGTTCCCCAGCTGGAGCTGAGGGATGAGCTCCTGGGCCTGGGCTGTGGACTCTTCCCGGCTGTCTGGGGCCCGGTATCGGAACTGGGAGGGCCTGGGCAGGGCTGTGGATCAAGAGTCACGTCCGGGGGTGGGGGGGCGGTCTCGCATTTCAGCTGGGGCCTCTAGGCAGATTCTCCCCCGAGTTGAGGCCTTTGGGGCCCGGCCTGGGGTCCCGTCCGGCCGGGGACAGGGGGTGAGGTGGGCCGGGCGGTTCACCTGGTAGCGCAGCCGGGACTGCTTGTCCTCGTCAGCCACCTCGAACCGGGCCCGACGCTCGAAGTGCAGCGGCCCAAAGCGCGCGACCCCGCTGGCCTCGGACCCAGGGCCCGCGTCCTCCAGGGACAGCTCGAAGGCATCATCAATGCTGAACTGGGGCCGGGCGGCGCTCATGGCCCCGGCCCGCTCAGGCGCCGTGCGCCGCCGCCATCTGCGCCCACACGCCCAGCGTCGCCGCGGCCCCGCCCCCACATGCCCCGCCCCTCCGGCCCTGGCTCCGCCCCACACGCCGGCACCGCCCCCGTTCGCCCTAAGCAGGCCAAAGCTGTCGAGCGCCGAGCGGGCTGATGGGTGGGAGCCTCTTCAAGACTGAGCGCGCCTGGCCAGTGACGCCACTCAGTGGCCGCCATGGCGAGCGACAGCCGATGCCGGGCTCTGACACAGCCCCCAGACCTGTAGGTGGGGGCCTTGGAGGGGCTCCACGCCCCAACCTCCAGGTCCCTGACAGGGCCTTTTGCACCGCAGCGTGTTTCTCGAGTGCCAAGGAGACTCCGGGAAAGTGTTTCCCCACCTTACTCACAACAGCCCTGAACCGCAGGGGTACTCTCCCCATTTTTGCAAATGTGGAAACCGAGGCTCAGAGAGCTTATGTGTCTTCCACTTCTCCAGTCCAGTCTTCACGCAGCAGCCGAAGTGATCTTTTAAAACGAATCTTTTTATCTCTGTGTTATTCTTAAATGAAACCTTTTTTAAAAATTATGCTGCTGGCCGGGCTCGGTGGCTTACTCCTGTAATCCCAGCACTTTGGGAGGCCGAGGCGGGTGGATCACTTGAGGTCAGGAGTTCCAGACCAGCCTGGCCAACAGGCGAAGAAACCCTGTCTTTACTAAAAACACAAAAAGTAGCCGGGCGTGGTAGCGCATGCCTATAGTCCCAGCTACTTGGGAGGCTGAGGCAGAAGAATTGCTTGAACCCAGGAGGCAGATGTTGCAGTGGGCCGAGACTGAGCCACTGCACTCCAGCCTGGGCGACAGAGCAAGACTCCATCTCAAACAAAACAAAACAAAACAAAACAAAAAACTTTCCCTTGGTTTTCCATTGCACTTAGAATAAAATCTGAACTCTTGGCAGGACATGTGGCTCACACTTGGGGAGGCCGAGGTGAGTGGATCACTTGAGGTCAGGAGTCCGAGACCAGCCTGGCCAACAGGGTGAAACCCAGTCTCTACTAAAAATACAAAAATTAACCGGGCACGGTGGCCTGTGCCTGTAATCCCAGCTACTTGGGAGGCTGAGGCAGGAGAATTGCTTGTACCCTGGAGGCAGAGGTTGCAGTGAGTGGAGATACCACTGCACTCCAGCCTGGGCAACAAAGACTCCGTCAAAAAAAAAAACAAAAAAAAAAAAACAAAAACCATGGGGACTGGTGAGGGTGAGGGTGGAAGACAGCAGAAAGCAGAAGTGCTCTGTGAATTAGGTGGACCTGGGTTCAAATCCCCATTCTACCACTTGGAAGTATTTGGGACTTTGGCAAACCCCTCATTCATTTCTGCCACAAGTATTTATTAAACATCTATTCAGGGCCAAACACTGTTTTGGGTACTATAGATACAGTGGTGAATAAAACAGTGCAAAATGAGACAATTTCAAGTGCTGTGTGATGCAAAACTGACTTTAGATTCCGCCGTCAGATGACCTTTCCAAGAGGTGACATTTGAGCAGGAATGCCGATGATGAAGGAGCCAGCTCTGAGAAAAGCTAGGTTCAGTGTTTTCCTGGCACCAGGGAACAGCACGTGCAAGGGCCAGGAGGTGGGAAGGAGCTTGGCCTGTGGAGGAAGAATGTGAGAAAGCCAGTGAGGCTGAGCAGCGAGGAAAGGGGAGGGGTGACCTGAGCGTGGGAGGAGTAGACAGGCCCGAGAGCCTTGAGAGCTTTGTGGACCTTAGTCAAGAGTTAAAATATTATTTTTTTTGAGACAGAGTCTCGCTCTGTTGCCCAAGCTGGAGTGCAGTGGCGCGCTCTCAGCTCACTGCAACCTCCGACTCCTAGGTTCAAGTGATTCTCCTGCCTCGGCCTCCCGAGGAGGCTGGAATTACAGGCATGAGCCACGGCGCCCTGCCTAACTTTTTGTTTTTCTTTTGAGACAGAGTCTTGCACTATCACCTGGGCTGGAGTGCAGTGGCAAGATCGCGGCTCGCTGCAACCTCCGCCTCCTGGATTCAAGTGATTCTCTTGCCTCAGCCTCCCGTGTAGCTAGGATTACAGGTGTGAGTCAGATTATAGGTATGAGCCACCACACCCGGCCTTCACGGTTCATTTTATGGCCTCATAGACAGAGCTGAGTCAAGTCTACTTCTCAGTTTGTTACACATCAACACTATGAACAAGGGCCCCCTCGAGTTATGTTAATTCACTTTCCCTCTTTCACTTCCCAGCTTCCTTCCTCTCCCCTGCCATCCATCAGACCCCATGTCAGCACGCTCAGTCGGAGTCCTTGAAGCCTGCCTGGCTCTGTACCATGCATGGCACTGTCTCCTACGTGGATGTGTTTGTAATTTTCATGCCTGATGTCATGCAGGAAATTCAATTCTGTTATTTACACGTTTACATTCTCGCTCTCGATGCTGTTTTCCACATGCATCTTGTTTGTTGTTTCTACAAGCTACATGCGTGTTATACCATGTTGAGTGTCTAGCACCTTTATGATCCACCTCACCTCCACAGTGTTGCACACTCAAACTGGCCTCAACCCCGCCATCACAGGCATCCCTGCAGTTAACATCTTCCTGCTGTCCCGTTATGGACTGTGGGAGAATTCCCCTTGGAGTGGGATTTCCAGGATAGAGTACACGCACTCATGACTTCACAAAGTATCACAGATGCTCTCCTGAGTGGCTGTGAGAGTTGACACTTGACCTGGAGGCTTCTGGTTCTCTCAGGACTTGGTACCATCCAACTTTTTAATGGCTTGCTGATCTGATGAATTTAAAGTGGTACCTCATGTTCCTCTGAGTTCTCTGATGGCTGGAGAGTTTGAGCCACTCTTTGTGCCCTTGTCAGCCATTGGGATTCCCTCGTCTGTGAACTGGCTCTTCATATCTTTTGTCCTTCTTTTTGCTATTGGGTTTCTAGCCTTTTTTCTACTAATTTGCATATCTAATATCTAATCATTAATTCCTTGCTGGTTTATGACCTTGAACATATTTCCTATCTGTCTGTCTTTGTCTCCTTGTCTAACATGCTCTTAGTTAAAGAATAATCACTCCTTCTCAGGCCGGGTGCAGTGGCTCATGTCTGTAATCCCAGCACTGTGGGAAGCTGAGGCAGGAGGATCACTTGAGCCCAGGAATTCAAGATCAGCCTCAGCACAGCAAGGCTGATGCGGGGCAGGTGATCCCCAAAATTGGGGCTTAGCCCAAGAGAGTTTTTGACTTCACCTGGGAAAGAATTCAAGGGTGAGCTGGTGGTGGTAGACAGCACATCAAACTTTTTTTTTTTGAGACGTAGTGTCGCTCTGTTGCCCAGGCTGGAGTGCAGTGGCACGATCTCGGCTCACTGCAAGCTCTGCCTCCCGGGTTCATGCCATTCTCCTGCCTCAGCCTCCCAAGTAGCTGGGACTACAGGCGCCCGCCACCTCGCCCGGCTAATTTTTTGTATTTTTAGTAGAGACGGGGTTTCACCGTGTTAGCCAGGATGGTCTCAGTCTCCTGACCTCGTGATCTGCCTGCCAAAGAGTCTAGAAATTCTTGAATTCTTGAATTCCCTTTAAGGCCTGACCTGTGTGGGTGGCTAAGGATTCTAGGGTTTGAATCAAGTTCTTCATGGTTGACTCGTGGTAAGCAGAGCCACCCAAGGGTGCCACTAGTCCTATTGCTGCCCTGATTCCCACCAAAATTAATCCTATTGCCACTTACTTCTGGTGTTCTTGGGTCTTATGGGGTTACAGACTGTGGCCTCTGGAGGGGCAAGAGCAGCTATTATCCATTCACCTCTGTTCCAAGTTTTTTATTTTTATTTTTTAAGACAAAGTCTCAAAAAAATTAGCAGGGCGTGGTGGCGGGTGGCTGTGGTTCCAGCTACTCAGTAGGCTGACGCCAGAGAATTGCTTGAACCAGAAGGCGGAGGTTACAGTGAGCCGAGATTGTGCCATTGCACTCCAGCCTGAACAACAGGGCAAGATTCCTTCTTTTTTTTTTTTTTTTTTTGAGATGGAGTCTCACTCAGCCACCCAG